CTGCTGCATTCCATGATACAAGAAAGATGGCTATTGAAGTCAAGGTATAAGATGAAGTTTGTAATAGTCTGACATTGTGAAGATAAGATCTGTTGGACAGATCAACATGAAGTATTTTATTTTTAATTATTTGGTTCTAGCAATATCCAGATCAGGATGTTAGGATTTTATGTGAAAGAGGTGGGGTGGGTGTTGGAGATATAGTAGGGACGGTGTGGTGGGTGTTCGAGATATAGTAGGGATAGGGTTGTGTAATTTATTTATAAAGCTAGGCCAGTTTTTGTCAATGTACTTAGAAATAATATTACTACCTGTGATAGTTTGAAGTAAGATATCAACCAATACGTCATTTTGGACTGTCGCCAAAAAGTCATGTGATATTGGAGTATAAAAGGAGGATAAAAAAGGGATTGTAAAGCAATTTTTATGCGTTTCAGGTACACTGGCAGCCTCAATTTGCACCATTCCACTAAAACTAAGGAACTAAGGCCATACAAAATAAATAGTTTGTTTTACAGGCACAAAAATGCCTGATTGTTGCCTTAATATTAAATGAACATTAAATTTGTGGAAATAAATAATAAATGCTTTCTCTCGCTCCGATTTATTCCAGTTGAAAATCTCTAAAAGCGCTTATAAATGATAAATAATAAATTGGCCCCCTCGCTTCGATTTTTGAAAAAAAAGTTCTGTAATACAGACTATTTATTTTGTATGACCTAAGGCAAATGAAGTGAATGATTTTTTACAGTTATTTACTATTGCTTTTTTCTTTAATTACTTGAACTACAGACATTAGACAGTAAATTGGAAAGGTGCAGATAGAAACTGTAAATGGCCTCGATACACAACTCTTTTAAATTCTAGTTGTCAAAATATACATTTGATTTACATAGTGATATTTGTAGCATAAAGTGTTGATCTTACACCAGTCAGAATCACATTCTATGTTATTTAAATTTGACAGAAAACTCTCAATGTGTTAAATAAAAGGTGCTGAAATGATTTTTAAAAATGTTCTTAATAAATATTAGTAGAACAATTGACATTAAAGATGGGTTCCCTTATTTTCATTTATGAAAATGAAAATGCTAATACTTATATGAATAGAAACTAGAGGTGTTCTTATGACTTGGAAAAATACCAGTTTGTCTCAAATGAAATTAATTCATAACTAGCCAAATTAGAAGAGAATTACCAACAGAATTCTAATCAATGACTGATCAAGAAAGGTTAAAAAGTCTTTTTTTTATTCATCCAGACTGTACATACATGAACGACTATGATTGATTAAAACTCTTAATTATATGCAATAAGAACATAATGATATGATTAAGAATACATTTTAATTCATTAGAAACACCAATTAATCAGTTTGCTAAATTTGACACTGAAAAATAAGGAAACCCATCTTTAAGTGGTTCTCTAGGTCTTCATCAGTAAAGAACTAAATTATATAAAATGTTATAAATGTTGAACATATTTAAATATTTTCTTATATTTTTATTACTCTATAATTATATTATTTTAATAAATTATTATCAAATTGATTTGAGTTTTTAAAATGCTCCCTCGACTGTTTCTTATTCTTATGGCTTAATCTTGGTTGTGCCACAGTTAGTGCAAGAAGAAAACCGAACTGACCTGGTGTTTTTCGTCCCATATTTCTGCATTTGATTCAGTTAATGAAAACAGACAGGACAAGTGCAATGAGGGAAATTTTGCTAGAGCTGTGGCATCATACTACTCTGTGCAACTGAGTTTGTCAAATTAGTACCCAGACAGGGTATGCTTATTCTTCTAGACACCTGATACCACTTTCCATTATGAAATACTTACTAATTTATGATTGATAT